GTTAAGTCTGCCCCGGGACCGCCACCGCCCCCACTTCGGACACCCACGCCGTGTCTAATTCCTCTCCGAGCTGGGGCCACCGCGCGCCGTGATTTGAATCCCAATAGAGGGAGATCTCAGGCCTTTCCCAGGCTGCGCAGGTTTCGAGCGCCGGGTCCTCCAGAGGTCAGAGGAGCAACTCCTAGCTCCCCACCAAGGGGGCTCTGGCCACACAGGCTCGGCAGCATCCTGAGGCCCCTGGGGAACCTTGGGCCTCCCAGCCAGATGCCTGGGCAGGAAGCCGTTTTGTTGCCCATGTCCACTTATGTCAAGCCAGAACAGTGGCCACCTCTGTAAACCTTTCCCTAATGCCTCTGGCTCTGCTGGCTTGACACTGCCCCAGTGCAGCCTGTCTTCCCCATCAGAGGGGACCTGCAAGGCAGCAGGAGCCCAATGTCCTCGTCCATCATTTTCCCCAGAGCTAAGGCATTGGGGCTGGACAGAGTTCATGAGTGGGCAAGTGTCTGATTGTCCTGAATTGAGAGTAATAATAGTGGTGATCAGAGGGGCTGTCCCTGAGGGGCAGAGGTCTCATTGTCCTGAAGGGGTGAGGAAGGAGCCCCCTTGGCCCCTGTCCCTGACATCTCCTTGACCTGTTCATTGTCACCCTGTTGACTCAGCCTGAATGGATGGGCCACCGTGTGAGGGAACCAATGGTACTGAGCCAGGCAGGGGCAACAGGAAAGATGGGGGAGGGGCTCAATCTTGATTCAGCTGAAAGGCTCCAAGGATACCTGTCTTTCCTGTCGTCTCAGCTCCCTGTTCCAAAGCAGTGATGGGACGATCACCCCACACCCAAATCACAAATGATGACTCAGTCCAATTAAATGGAACAATCTATGGACTGCCCACCGGGGTGCTAGGCACTAGAGGGAAAGTTAGGGGAGGGAGAGGAGGAAATGCAGAGTGAAAAACCAAGGGCCTGGTCCAGGAGAGTTCAACCCTGAACAGATAGTCTTCCTGAGTCATGGGGCTAGGATGCTGGATCTCACAGGAGACAGAGCTTAGCATCGTCTCCCAGGCCATGAGAGGCTTCATGGGGGTGATGGAGCCTGGAACCATCTGGTTACAGGATACGCAGGGCCATCTCTTGGGGGGAAGCCCGTACCCTGTCCCTCCTTTCTAAGGGACCTCTTGGTGGGCCAGCCTGGGACCTGTAGCCTTTCCTCCCTTGGAAGCTGGCTGGGTAATTTGCCCCCTCCTAGAGAGGATTCAGTTGTCACTTCTCCAGGAAGCCTCCCTGGATTGAGATGGGAGCAATGATTAGCTGGGCTGGAGCAACCCGTTTTTTCAAGCCTGGAGATTTGGCTGTGATCAAGAGGGAACCAGAGTAGAGAGAAAGAACCAGGTGGAAAATGTTGGTGACATACATAGATGAATATTCATAGCTTTCCCCACCCAGAATAAGCTAGGGCAGGGATTGGTCTTATCCTATTCTTAAGGCTCCCCATTCCTATAAGTCTTTCAGATCTCTGTTTGAGGACTGCTTACAGAGCTCAGGGGAAAGCAGGTCAGCTGGCTGTACCTGGACCCATGCAGGGCCAGAGACAAGGCTCTTCAGGGTGAAATGGGGGATGGGCTTCTGTTCTCCCAGACTCCCTTCTTCCCAGCAGGGGCTGACAGAATAGAGTGCCTTTTTGCAATCTCAGCGGTCATCCTTCTGCCTCGGGGTGGGCATCTCCCCCAGCATACACATCCCAGCCAGCATTGGGAAGGGGAAGCTGTGGCGAAAGGAAGGGAGCTTAAGAGGGGCTGGGCATAGTTGTGCCATGTGGGCAGGGATGGTTCCCATGGGGCGCCTGTCCCTCCTTGTTCCTCCCCTTTTCTTTAACTCTGTGCTTCACCTCTTTCCCCATCCAAACTCAGCCCCTTCAACTACAGTGAGGATGGAGCCTCATGGGGGTATCTTGGGCCCCTGTCTTGGTGCCCCTGCACTTCCTCCTTGGGTTCCTAAGTCTGCATGGATCTTGGTCTTGAGGGAAAGGTCTGTAGTCATGCTCAGCTCTTGCCAAAAGCCTGGCGAAGGGCAGGAGAGGGCAGAGGTGGGTCTCAGTACTTCAGGGTGGGAAAAGGAGCTCTGGTCTACTCTGGGGATGGATTCTGTGTTGGATGAGAGATCTGGAAGCCCTAGGACACACCTGACATGTGGTGGGGACTAGATGCTCAGAAAAGTTTTATGGCATGACTGGTGAGGACCAGAGCTGAAGTAGACAGGAAGGCCGTTAGGCTGTAGGAAGGACTTCCATTCTTGGTGGAGGATGGAGGGGCATGAAAGGCCGTATCTTCCTCTGCTGGATCTGGAGCGCCCTCTGGTGGTCACATGGCTTCAGGCCAACGGAAGGGGGGTGGCTGCCTTCCCCACTCTTCTCGGTAGCAACTCCCATTTGCCTATCTCAGCCCCCACTCCTCAGACTTGGGACAGAGAATAAGGTGGTGCTTGGGGACTGGCTGCTTCCAGCTTCTGATGAGTTAGTGGCAAATAATTCTTTATGCCCTTCTTAAGCTCTGCAGGGATCCTCTTCCTATTCTGTTCAGAGGTTCCCAATTTGAGGGTCAGCGTGGCAGCCATTCTGGAATAGAAAGAACTCTCCAGCAGCCTGAGCTGTCCTGTAACAGACACACAGACTTGCTGGGAGAAAATGAGCTCCCTGTCTCTAGAGGCAAGTAAGTCCAGTCTGGGCAGCCACCTAGTAGAACACGGCATCCTAGGGGGAGTTCCATGGACATCCATGGAGGGATGTTGTCACCACAAAGGTCCTTTCCCACCCAGGGTTCTAGTATTGTGAGTTAGAGGGTGGAAGGAACTCCCCAAATTCGCAGTGCACAGAAAAATGAGTCAGAGTCTTTGGCGATGTGTTTATCATCCTTATAGAGCTAGGCCTTGACTCAGGCTTTACTGTAACTGTGTGATGCTGGTCCAGTGGATCAGCAATCACTCAGGTGCCTCATTTGCAGGGCATGGGGCTATGTGAGGGTCTCCCCCACCATGGCCAGTTTATAGCCAGCCCACTCCTCCACTATCTCCCTAGCCTTCTACTGCTTCTCTCCCAATGCTGCCTATGGAAAGGCGGCTCCTTCCAGCCCCTGTCTTCTTTCTTGCAGCAGGAGTGATGGGAGCTAGAAAAGAAGAGCTTCCCAAAGGTAGCCAGTCGTCATCTTCTAAAAGGAGAGCATCCTTTCCAGGGCTGGACGCAAGTTAGGCCTGAGTGTCTGGTTCCTCTGCCCTTAGGGGTCCCTGGGCTAAATCCTCATGCTCCCCAGGCACCTGGAGGGCAGGATGGAGGAGCAAGTGAAGGGGCAGTTCCAGGAGGCTGGAGACCACAGCTCACGGGTGGGCCCCAGAGTGGAATGAGCAGGCAAGGAAGGAAAGAGGTAGGTTGGATCATAGGAGGTGAGGCAGAGAAGGGAGAGCAGGAGGGTGAGAGGTCCCATGAGCCTGAGGAGCTGCAGCTACATCTCACCTCCCAGTAAATCTGGTCCTCGTAGCATTGGGAGTCTGGCGGGGAGTCCAGGAAGGGCAGCTTCAGCAGGAGCCCTGGTGATGGTAGGAGATAATGTGTGAGGCTTTTTGCTGCCCCCGTAGCGGGTGTTGCCCCCCAGTACTGTAGGACACAGAGGAGCTGAGAGGCATGAGGTCAGTGTGATGCCTGGCACAGGCGAATCCCAGCGGTATTTATCAAGCACCTACTATTTGCCAGGCCCTGTGCAAAGTGCTTGATGAGCATTGCCTTCCTGAGTAATCACAGCAACACTGCAAGGTGAATATGATCCCGAATTACAGAGATGGGACAAAGCTCAGAGAAGTTAAGTAACTTACTCAAGTTTGCACAGTTTGGGGTGGAGGGTATAACTCAGGGGTAGAGTGTGTGCTTAGCATGCATGAGGTCCTGGGTTCAATCCCCAGCACCTCCATTAAAAATAAATAAAGGAGCCTAATTACCTCCCCTCTAAAAATAAATAAAAACATTTAATTAAAAAAAAAGTTTGCATAGTTGGGAATGGACCAAATAGTGGTTCTGTCATGAACTATCCACGAGGGATGCAGAAAGTGTTTATTGAATAAATAAGTAATTATATATTCTTTTTTTTTTTGTCAGGGGAGGGAGGTAATTAGGTTTGTTTGTTTGTTTGTTTTGGAGGAAGTACTGGCGATTGAACCCAGGACCTTGTGCATGCCAGGCATGCACTCTACCACTTGAGATATACCCTCCCCCCAAGTAATTAAATAAATGAGTGAATTGAACCTTGTTTGAGAATAAAAATCTCCAGGTGAGAGCAGGAGGGTAGGGATACTGACTCACATGTTTTATTTTGAAAGCCAAGAGGACTAAGGCCTGCCTGACCTGGCATTAGAGGGCAGGCTGCCTCTGTAGAAGAAGGTTTTGGTGTTCCAGGCTAGTGGTGAACCAGGCAGGCCCCTTCCCTCCCTGCCTTCCCTCCCTCGCCTGCCCCTGCCCCTGCCCCTGCCCCCTGCCTCAGATAGATCTCTCTGCAGGCCCCTTCAGGGCCTCAACCTGAGGTTGGGCTGCCCTCTAGTGGGTAGAGGGAACAGCACAGGGAAGCCACAGAGGAGAGGGCTCCATCAGCCCCTGGCCGGCTGCCCACCTTCCCTTAGCACCGAGAGGGAGCAAGTACCCACTTGTTCCTCCTCACCTGGAGGAGGTTACCCCTGAACTCGACAACCCCACTCCACACCTGGCACAAAGTGGGCATTCAACAGATATCTGTGAGTAAGTGAATGTCAGAGAGATGGGATCCAAAGTCCCTTCCTCCAGAGAAACCCCCTCTTCTGTCTTCTGCCCTCCCTGGAGCTCCTGCCAGCCCCCACCCCAGCCACAGTCACTCACCTCCAAGGCACCCGCCCACAGAGGCAAATATCAATGTGACAAACAGCCCGAAGAGCTGGTGTATGGCCTGAGACATCGCACTGCGTTGGCCCTCGGCTATGAGCGGAAACACGCTCTCCAGGCTGCAGGGAGAGAATGGTGTGGGGGACCGAGGGACAGAGCACAGAGCCAGGGCTGGTCAGTGCATCGGTGCACTGCGCTGTATTCTGCAGTGGCCACAAGGGCCTCAAGGGAGCCTGCCAGGCTGAGTCTCACCTTCCAGCCTTTGCTCTAGTCAGGCCCGCAGCCTGGAACACCCTTCCACCTTGTGTGCCAGCAGACACCCATGTACCTTTCAAGGTTCGGTGTGAGGGTCACTTCTGCCTGCCCTCTCCTCTGAGCCCTGATGTGCAAAAATCAATCCTAAGGGTCAATATCTCTTACTTGGCCCTTTAGTAATGACACTATTGAAATCATTTGTTTAATGACCTTCTGCTGAACCTGACTGAGGACCAGGAGAGAAATCCCCGGGTTGGTCTTGTTCACTCCAGTTTCTTCAGCTGCCAGATAGGGATAGATGGATGATTGAATGGATGAAAACAGACATTGTTTTTTGTTGTTGTTGGTCCACCAAAGGAGGAAGAGAGTGAGGGAGTTCATTCCAGGGGATAATGATTTCATTGAGGATGGGGGGCGGTGAGGGTGGGGGAACTCACCCATCTCCGTAAGCTTCATGAGTGGCCAGTCCAGCCACAAGGACCCCCAGGAGGGCTCCCAGGACCCCAGGCATCCCATGGAGGTTGTGGACACCACATGTGTCTTGGACTTTGATTTTTGACTCAAGGATGGGCTGGAGGACAGGATACCAATATTGAGTCTCATGTGCCCCCTCCCACCCCAGGCCTGTTGGAGAGGTGGGAGGAAAGGTACAGAAGCCCCCTGTTCTGTCCAGGGCCCAAGAGGCATCTGTACCGTGAAGAATTTGTACCCCAGGGTGGAGACGGTCCCAGCAAGGAAGCCAGCTGCCAGAGCTCCAAAGGGTGTCAGCATCATTTCAGCTGAGGTCCCCACCACAACCCCCCCGGCCAGTGCTGCGTTCTGGACGTGGACCTAAAGAAGAACAAGGCTTGAGAGGCTCTTTCAGAGTGTTACACCCACACCCAACCCAACCCCATCCATCACAGTGGCAATGACTGCTTCTGGAAGTCCCTCCACCATCTAACCTCTAACTCTCCTGCTATCTTATCATCACCTCACACTCTAACCTCACCGTCTCCGGTGCCGATGGAGCCCTCCTCCGCCCGTGCCTATGCCCTTATCTGTTCCCTGGAGAACAGAAGCAGGGTCCACACCTCTCCTCCCCATCCCGGTCTATCCCTCTGCCTCTCCCAATGCCTCCTCCCCATACCATATCCAGCCGCCCATCCTGCCCGACAAGGGCTGACAAGGCAAAGGTGCTGAGGGTGCTGGCGGTCAAGGAGTAGTACGTGTTGAGAGCTGTCCGATGCTGCCCGTTCCCCAGAGTAGTGGGCACAGAGTTGAAACTAGGCCAGAAGATCCACAGGAAGATGGTCCCTAAATGGTCGGCAGGCAGGCAGAGTGAGAGGAAGTAAGGGGCTCCCCCACGAGGTGCAAGCTGTGTAACTGCAGGCAAGTCACCCACTCTCAGCAGCCTCAGTTTCTTCATCTGTAAATTGGGGATAGTAACACCTACCTCCCAGAGTGAGGACTGAGGTGTTGCATACAAAGTGCACAGCCTGTGGTCGAGCAGGCACTAAATGTGCAACAAATGGTAGCCATCGAAGGATACTGGCACAAAAGGAAGCTACTTGACTGAAAACCACAGGGGGTTGAGGGTTTTTTTTTTTAAGTATCAGAAAAGGGAAGAAAAAAAAAGGCAAAAGGCACCACACGTCAGGCACTCATCTGGTACAGATCAGGAAAATCATTTGTTTTATAACCTCAGCTGCCTCCTGGAGAGGGCGGGCCTTGCCTTGAGCACCGAGAGGTGGGCCTGTGCATCTAGGGTCGGAACTGGGAGCTCCACAAGCCCCACCTGCCCTGCGAGGCTTCCAGGTCAGTCTCGTAGGGAGAGGGGGAGGGGGCCAAGGATGGGGCAGGGGGAGGCTGGGGACCCGTAGGGTAGGGCCAGCCTGGCAAGGAGGCTCAAGGGACTGTCCCTTAGTCCTGAGTGCTCCTTGAGTGTGCAGTGTAAATTCTGCATCTCCACAGCCTGCAGTGAAACCCACCCCAGGCACACAGGAGTCCTCTGAGAAGAGTTTTGGGAGGAATCAAGGAAGGGGCCAGGTTTGCTGGCAGGCAGAGGATATCTGAGAATGTAAGCCTCCTGGGAAGACACAGAAATCTTGGGGAAGCCTTTGGACTTCAAGCCAAACTTATTTGGGTCTCAGAGGGCAAGGAGACCTCAGCTGACCTAGGGTTCCAAGTGCTCAATTTCATAGCAAATTCAGATATGGGCAAGAAATACAAAACCACCTTCTCTTCTTAATGGAAGAATAGGCATTTCAGTCACTACGCAATACTACCTTCGAAAACATAAAATATCGAATACCTTTCCTGACTCATTTGCTGAGAAAGAGAGAGGAGCAGAGGCCAAGGTGGAGGTACGGGCTTGGAAGAAACAGGTGGTGGTGACGGTGCTTGCAGGTCAGACCCTACTGCTCCCAGGGCTGACCTGTAACCTCTCCTTCTCCCCCTGAGAGTGCAGGGGCTTCCAGGGAATCCTTAGGAGGTGGGAGGCAGCACCAGGGACAAAGGCCTGGAGGTAAGAGATGGGGAGAAGCCAGTCTGGCTGGAGTGAGGGTAGGGAGAGTGAGTAGGGAGGGAGGAAGAGGGTGAGGGATGGCTAAGATTCTGCAGGGGCTGAAGTGTCAGGCTGCGGTGTCTGGTTTCTAACTGTGGGTGGTGGGGGCCCTGGAGGCTTTTAAGCAGAGATTGATGCCATCAATTTAGAGAGGTCCCTGGGATGGATCTCGGGGCATGCACATACCCCAGTGCTGAATTCTAAGAACCTGTCATAAAACTAAAGAAAGATGAGCACAGATCGGGCTCTGACAGAAGAATCTGAGTTGGAAGGGAGTTCCCAGCCAGAGCCCCAAGGACCATAGGTGACACCCCGAGACCAGGCCCGGAGATGAATGGCCGCCCACCCACCACACCTCCGCAGGCCTCACCAATCATAGCAAAGAGGTCCGAATGGTAGACAGAACCCTGGCGATGCTTGCTCTTCTCCAGCTGGGGCTTATAGAGGACCCAGGAGAGGACCAGCCCAAAGTAGGCACCAAAAGTGTGGATTGTCATGGAGCCTCCTGCATCCTTCACCTGGGGAGGTGGAGCTGAGGTGGAGGGGCAGCCCCTCGCCCCCACCCCTACGACATGCCCTTCCTGCTCAGGACCTGGCCCTGGCCCGCCCCCACCCCTCCCTCTACCCCGATCCAGACTCACCCGCAGGAGACTAAGGAGCACAAACTCGTTGAGGCCAAACAGCACCACCTCCAGCAGGGCCATGAGCAGCAGCTGAGCAGGCCCAGTCTTGCCCAGTATGGCACCAAAGGAGATAAGGACAGCTCCAGCACAGAAGTCAGCATTGATCATGCTGGGGGGTCGGGTTGGAGAGGGTAAGAGGGGGCCGGCAACAAGGGCAGCCCTCGGGGTGGGGGCTGGGGAGGCAACGGGCCTATGGGGCTAAGCTCTTCTCTAGTAGGCGAGAAGGGGCCACCCGGCCTCTTTTGTGGTTGAGGAAACCCAGTCTCAGAGAGGTTGGAAGAACCAGATCCTGAACCCAGAGATTCCCTGAACCCTGCTCTTTTCCATGAAGCTATCTATTCTCCCAAGAGCTTTTAGGCACTAAGGGACCTAAAGAAATGGGGAGGTATTGCTGGAGGATGGGAGAAGAAATCAGGCGACAAGAACAGGCAAGGCACCTAAGAGAAATCAATCGATAGATCAGAAACCTGGGTGAGAGAGCAGACTTGAAGGACAGGGCTTGAGCTGGGTCCCTTGGGCAGGAGCTTCCCAGGTAGAGCTGGGGGGAGCCAGGGAGGCTGCTGCTGCCCACCTCTCCACACCAACATAGATGTGGCCGCCATGGAAGGAGTGGAAGAAGCCCTGGACGAGTGTGGACCACTGCAGGGTGAAGGCGGCCAGGAGGATGGTGAAGCCCACGCTGCTGAAGCCATAGCGCTGCAGGAAGGCCATGAGGAAGCCGAAGCCCACGAAGATCATGGCGTGCACGTCCTGGAAGCCTACAGGGAGCATTCGAGGGTGCTGCTCAGGCCACCATCCATCAACCAAAGACCCACCCTGCCAGTGCCCCCAGCTCTCCCCAGCCATGGCTGCCTAGAGGCTGGAGCCGAGCCTGTAAAACTCCCCACGCGTGGCGGGGCCTCCCAGCCTGGACCAGCTGTGCAGAACTGGCCAGCTTGCAGCAGTGGGACCCAAACCATCCTTGCTGTCCCCATGTCAAAATAAGACTAGAGCCTTCAACTTTCTTTTCCGCCCCACTCATTTGCCCTATCCATGTGTCTCTGACAACCGGGGAAAAGTCCAGCATTTCCTGTGCTCTTTCCTGCAGTAGCCCCTGCCCCTCTGTGCTTGAAATTCTCTTCCCCTTCCAGCTTCTCATTAATTTTTCCTTTCTGCTGGAAGTCCTTCCTGATGTCTAACCCCCATCCCTCATACGTCAGAATCTGTACCTCTCCATTTTCAGGATTTTACATTTTATAAATTGAATTACAAAATGGCTTTAAATAATTAACAGCGATTACTTCAGAGAAAATGAATTGAAGAGGGAGCAGGGCTGCTGTGCTATACAACTCAGGTGCAAGTAATGCCCCCTGGAGGTGTGCAACGTGGCCACTCTGGAAAGGAGGATTTTACTCTATAGTTTGTTTCTTTTTATAGTTTAAACATTTTAATTTTATAGGTGAATCACTTGAATTTTTTAAAGTATCAGTGGGGTTTCTGGGCAGGTAGATTTGCTTTCCATTCTGTGTACCAAAAACTAGAATAATAAACAGCAATATTGAAAATGAGATAAATACAAACAACTTCCTTCTGCGTTAGTTTGTTCTGTACCTCTTCCCCCATCTAGTTGTAAATAGGGTTTGAAACACAACCTAGTATGATGTTCAGCCGGTGCATCTGGTCCTGTTTCCTTTGTCTTGGGTCTGTGTATCAGTAAGACTATCTTTGGCTTTAATTGAGAAACACTAGAGAAAGAGCATAATGAGTGTGTTATTGCATTTGTTGTATATAACTTATTGAGAAACAGGGTCAGTCATGACCCTAAACTCTCCTTTCATAGTTCCATGTGAGAAATTTCTCTTGGAATTTAGTTCTGGGAAATGTTACTTTCCCCAAAGAACTGGTCAGCTTTCCTGAATTCATATGACAGATGTTAACTAAGCAGTCATGCATCAGGCTCCGGGAATGTAGCTGTCATCAAGGCTGCCACGGTCCCTGCCCTCGTGGAGTGTGGAAGACAGACATCAAAGATGAAAAAATCATATATGTGAGGCTTCCTTGATTCTGATGAGAACATGTAACTGAGCAAATTTCCCTTTTTTTTCTTGGCTGCCTGGAAGCTCAGAGCTACTCTGGAATCTCAATTATAAAAACTGAAGGCCTCTCACAGTGCTCATTATTTGTCTTCTGCTTCTCTGACTTTTTTTTTTGTAAATGACCTCACATCTGTTGTAGAAAGAGGCAGATCATAAAGGAAAAAAAATCATGATTACCTTTTTTGTTTAAACTGAATAAGTACCAACAAACCAAAAATTTATTACTGAACTTTAGAATGCAATCAATAACTTTGAGAGAAGCAGTTTTTTATACTGTTTTTATGCTGTATATGGGCTGATAGGAAATGAGTTTGCAAGCCCCTGGCAGAAGGTTGGGTGTATGCTAGAACTGGAGGTCTGCAACTCAGCTGCCAGCCCCAGCAGTCAAGGGGGTGAGGGTCTGGAGGCCCGCTGGCCTTGCTAAATGTTCCCACCACTGTGCCACTTCTCCAGCCCTGCCTGCTCCCCAAATCACCCAGATCTCTCTTCCCTCCCAGATCTTAAAACCCAACAGAAAAGGAGAGGCACCTTTTCAAACTCAGCCTGCAGCCTAAGTTCTTTTAGCCTCACCGCCTGACTTCTTTCCTCCTTGTGCAAACAATAAAGGGGATGGCAAGTCTGCTCCTTTGCCCAAGGACAGCAAGACAACAAAGAGGGCTGGGTGGCAGGGCTCTGTGCTCATTTCATGTCGAAACTTCTCCAGAACTTGTCTTAAATGGCAGTAATATTTACATCTACCACCCAGGGGTTTGTTTGGAATCAAAACTCAATCCCTTGGCCTTTCACCTGGAGTCTAAACATCACTTGTTCCACTGTGTGGGATGTTCCACACTGACACTCTCCACGGGCTGGTGGGTAAGGGGCTATTCCAGCTGGAGGCAGAGGCATGGGTAAGATGATTCCTCAACATTGCCTTCAGGGGATCCCAGGGAGAGGGCCAAGATGGAGCCTGTCTCTCATCATGCCCACCCCCCTCCCCGGGCCCATGCCTCTTTGGTTGGAGACAAGATAAAAGCCCTCCAGAGCTACCTGTCACCCCCGCTCCTTCCCTGACTGCCCCCCCCCAACCCCACCAGGTGACTCCTGAACAAAGTCAGACTATGGGACAAGGGAACAGTTAAAGCTGGGGCTTTACCATCTGACAGAGCTGGGTTTGAATTCCAGCACCACCAAACTTCTCACCATGTGACCTTGGATAAGTCACTTAACTAAGTCTGTTTCCTTATTTATAAAGTGGGGGTACAAAATATGAGAAGCAGGAAAAAAAGGAGCAGTGAGCTGAGGAGAGAGGCCGTCTCCCCCAACCACTCTTCCCTACCTGCCTCTAAAAGGGCCCATAGAGCTGTTTTCTCCTGGAAGAGTCACAAACCACTCTCGTCCCAATCACATTCCCCTGTCCCCACCTCTTCTGAGAAGATCTGGGTTCCATCTGTCCTAAATCCCTCCCCCTGCAAGTAAGGTCTCAGAGATGTATTCAAAAGAACCTATCCATATTTTTTTCTTAGAAATTATTATTGTTCTAACTGGCTGAGCAGAGAGGGCAAATGTTTGCTTCTGTGTCCCCTGTAAGCCTGATCTTTTTCCCTAGTCTTTACCCCTCTTTCTTACTTTCCTTCATCTGCCTTGTAGGACAAGAGGTTTGTGACATAGGGGAAAGGCTGCAGATGAGGAGTCAAGAGACTTGCTTCTAGGCTGGCTAACTTGCTGTGTGATTTTGGGCAATCACATGACCTCTCTGGTTCTCTCTCCAGATCTGAGAGGATTGGACCAGATGGTCTCTGAAGGCCCTTCCTACAGAGATAACAGACCCTCAGAGCAGCCATACCCTTGGCATTGGCTAGTCCCACAGCTCAATAACAGCGGCAAAACTTCCTTTCATCTCCTAAATCAAAGGCCTTCTGGCTCTGACCACTTCTGGACATAGGGACAGGTGAAAACTCGGCTCATCAAAGCCCCGGGCTCCAGGGACCTCACATCTCCCTCCTCCCCAACCTATCCCCACACCAGGGTCCTAAGTCCACAGGGTTAGAAACCTAGTGCCAAAAAAGAGGTGGGATTCCCACTGCTATTCCTCTTACTGCAATCCAGGAACAGAGAGCTGTGTGGCCAGGAGAGCCTCCCACTGCAGCAGAGGGGCAAGAGGCTGGGGGTTTCAGGGAGGACTTTGAAGCAAGCAGGGCTCAGGGGCCTTGAGTGAGTCCCAAGGAAGAAGCAATGGGGGGTTTATGGCAGGCAGCTGGGTCAGACCCTGAAACAAGGGCTTACTTTTCTCAGCATGTGGACTGTCCCCTCCCAACTCCCCATCTCATTGAACAAATGCATGATCCCAAGAGTCTGCCATCCCAGTTCTGTAGCTCTGGCTTTGATCTCAGCATCCATGGTTCATCTTGTGCAGCCAGGACTGGGGTGAAATATGGGCAGGGAAGAGCTGTAGCCCACCTCCGTCTAGGATGGCTGTTGGTCTGGCACTTTACACCCAGGTCCAAGCCTCCAACTCACTCTCCATATTCTCGGCATTGTGACCTTCACTTTGTTGGGGTTGGGTCGGGTGGGGACAGTCTGCCGCCAGCTCTGTATACAAAAAGTAGGGTAATAACAGCCTGGGATTTTTATAGGAGACTCTCCCACTCTGGGCCTTGTTTGAATGTATATCCTTAGAACTGAGGCATCTTTCTCCTCCTAGCTCAGATAGGGAAAACGGAGGCTTAGATACCTGCTCAAGCATTTGTGATGACGTCTGGGAGATCTAGCGTCCTTGGTCCCAGTTGCCCAGGGCCTGAGTTACAAGGTTGGGTCCCCCAAACTTGAGGGAGAGGCTCTGTCCCCAACAAGACGCAGGGCTTAACCCTCCCCTTACCTGGGCCTTGTCAGCAGGCAGGTGAGCTGTGGTGCAAGGAGCTTCGGATGTCTGAGTCCTAGTTCCACCTCTGCCACTCACATGGTGGGTGATCATGAAAAAATCACAACCCCTTTGAGCCTCAGCTTCCTCCTCTGTGAAATGGGCTAACGACACTGCTATGCCTCCTTCTCAGGGCTGGGGACTGCTGCTCTGTGGTTATCTGGTAGGTAGTTAGACCATTTTCTCTGTGACTCAGGAAGGATCAGCTTTGGGGGACTCAGGAAGAAATGCCTGAGTTCACTAGTCTTGGCTGCCTTCACAGCTGTTACCTGCATTATTCCTTCCTGCACCCGACTCCTTTCCTCCCCTGCCCAGGAGGATTCTTTTTTTCCCTGTGGTCAGGGTGGAGGCCTCAGGAAAGGTGAAGTTTCTGGAACAGCCCAGCAAAGCCCAATTAGGCCAACAAGGGAATAGGTAAAGCTGAGGCTTCAGATCTTGGTGCAAATCCCAGCTTCCTCAATTCTGACAGCAAGACCCTGAACCAACCACTAACCTCTCTGAGCCTCAGTTTCCCCATCTTTGTCTACTTCATAGACTAAAGAAGAAAGTGCATTTACCGCCCTGGGCATAATACCTGGAACGTGGCAGATACTAGTGAGAGGGTGTGGTTATCAATCTGGGGCCTCTTCATCTCAAAGCGAGAGGGCTACCCATCTAGGGGTAAATCTGGGCACCCAAGTGCCCCCTCCCAAGACACCAGGGGAGCTTAGAGTCCTTGCTCCCTGCGCACCCTCACCCGCACTCACTTGGGTAGCGAAAGTAAAATTCATTGTCCGCGTTACTGTGGTTGCCCCAGTGCCAGAGGGCAGCGTCGGTTTCACGGTTGTAGCGGACAAAGACCGCAAAGAGGATGGCGGTGGCACCCTGGAGGAGGAGGCACAGCAGGGGCAGCTGCAGACGCC